CCTCATGAGAGAGGTGCAAAATAAAAATTAGAAACTTTTTAAAAGATACAGTTACAGATATTCACAGAGTTGATAAAGTTTACTCATTTGCTAAAAGATAATACACGTTTAATTGCTAGATCATTAAATAAGAGTAAATATATCAGAAAAAATAGACTTTTCTGATCTTATTTTACCACCTAAAACAATTAAATCTTCTTATTTAATTTTTAAATAGAAGATATTGGCAGGAGGACAGGAGTATAACAGTTTTTCTGAAGAAAAACTAATTATTCCTCATCATCAATTTTCTTTTCTCTTTTCACCACCTGGTTTAATGAGTAGCTGTTAAAATAGTAAAATTTCTGGAAGTAAACGGTTTTAAAAAAAAAGCGTTTTTAAACTGATGTTTGCTGTGAGACTTTTTAGAAAAATTGCAGGTTTATAAAAATTCAGTGCTTTAGAGTAAAAAACACAGAGAAGCTTGGTAATCTAGTATCTGTTAAGAAATAAGCACATAAAAAGTAACACTGCATGGAAGCATTTACTTGAATATTCATGAATTGGGGTAAAACCTGGACAGGTGCCCACATTTGAATAAGTTGACTTATAACAGTACTTTTGTGTAAACCCAGAGCTTAAATAGTGTGACACTCAATGCCACTTGAATACAAATATTTACCTGTAAAATATCTGAAGCTGGCAACTGTTTAACCAGAAAAAGTGCTACACAGTGAAAACATGACAGGTGTGGTGGACAAAAATTTTGATCCTTATGAGATGAAGGACTGTTTAGAATATGCGTTAGCACTGCTAACAGGATCCTTACATCCATATGGCAAACAGGTGTACAGCATGAACCCAAAAGAGTTAGTGGACAATTTGATGGAGGTTGCAGAGAGTGTGACCTCTACAGAAATTACAATGTCAAGCTATGAAAAGCTGGCTAAAATGGCAATGTTGCTGAAAGAATCATACTTTGCATTAAGACGGGATCACGTCGTGACAGTGTCACAAGTTTCCCGCTGCAAAGGTGAAATAGATGTGCTTAAAAAAGATCTGCACAAAAACAGAGTGCATAAAGAAGCATTACTGGAACTATATTTGCTTTTACAAAGTGACTATCAAACATCACAGGAACGCTTAAAAGCATGTGAGGAGAAACTAAAAGCGGCAACATATAAAAGTTCTGACGTGGGGCGAGTTTATCTGGAACTCAGACAAGACCGTGGACAGAGTCCAGGTCACCCACAACCACCTCAGAAAGATGTTGTTGCACCTCCACATGTGTGGAGAGAAAAATCCATCAATGAGATTAAACAGTGTGCTGTGAATGTGTTCGAGGCATGTTCTCATGCTAAGACGCCCATAGAGGTGTTTCCTGGTAAAAAGGTTAAACCCCACTCCCTAGAAATGGAAGGACGGCGTGCATTGACCCCTCCTCCTAAAACAGGCGAGAAAAAGCAGTATTTTCAAACTAACAAACCGCGTAATGAAGGTGCACTCTGGGACAGAAAAGCTCCTCTTTCAGAGGATGAACGTGATTATCGTATATGGGGTGTGCGTAGGACGCAAAGATATGGGATCCAAGAGGACCCATATTATCAGGGGATGTCCGAAGAGGAACCCCCAAAAGACGTACCTAACCCTCCCCCACCTCGGAAGAAACGAACCGAGGCGATAAAATCACAAAGGTCCCAGGAACAAGGCCCTACACCTCTGAGCTCGGAAGAGACAGAGAAACTACAAAGGTTTTTAGATACTTTGAAAAACGCTGAAATGGGAAACCAACCTGGAACGCTGTGTAGTGAGGTGATCGCTACTGAATCTGAAGGCGCGAATGACAACATTACAGATGTCGGTGAAACACACCAAGACATTGCTGTTGTTGCCTCCAACAACCCCTCATCGGACGAAGGGGGGGTAAACTCACACACAAACGATGATGAGTCATCGCAAGCTGAAAACTCAGAACCTGACTTTCATGATTTTGAACTAGGCATTCCAGTTCTGGGAGGACTCCCAGATAACTTGGTACCGAGTCAAGAAGCTGGGCCAGTATGGTGCACAAAACCAACACAGGCCATAGCTCTTTTCTCAAACAATGACGTCGACCAAGGACCTCAAACTTATGGTGTCTTACCCATAGACAGGTCCGACGACTCAGAAAAGGATTCGTTGGAGCTCCCCAAGGAGCAAGAACCCTCATCAGTCTCATCACAGATTGAACAGGTGGTCGCTCAAGCCGACACTGACATCTGATGAAGAAAGAGACCACATTCGCCAAGTTCTTTTAAAATATGAAAAGTCACTTTCAACTGACCCAGACATCACCCAACTTCAAAAGTTGGATGGTCCTACAATTAACTCGATGATACTGTATCTGACTGACCCAGACAAATACACTCCATCGAAAGGTAAACTGGATTCCGATCCAGACCTCAAAGTCCTCTTTCAGCTGCGCAAACAGTTAAAACTACTCAAGGACAGCCTAACTTTAGCTCATGGAGCGACGTCCTCACCCGTGTTCGCGGTCTCCCATGACCGAAGGGGGGTGACGCCAGTTAGGATAATGCTACCAGACGCGATAACGTGAGCAAATCTGACATTCAGAGTGAGTGGCGCACCGAAACGTCGTTTTCTAGTTGCTTAATCACTGCTTTTGTCGATGTTGAAACGTTGTTTAACTGGTTGCTTAATCACTGTTTTTGTCGATGTTGAGACATCGTTTAATTGGTTTTTGGTATTGTTTTTGAACACCCCAAGCAAGAATGAATTTTGTTGTGTAGTTAAGTTAGAGACTAAGAGGCCTTTAACCATGCCAACATGCAGTTCATTCATTAAATTGCAATCTTTGCGGAGTCAATATAGATTAATGCTACCTTAAGTACCATAATCTACATTGATCTCACAACGCTTAAGCCGAACCTACTCGAACAATTCTATTCGGGGGGGTAGCTAATTCTTTTTGATGAGTCTCGCCATAGACTTCCAAAAACATTTATGGGGAAACCAAACACCCAATCTCAAGTCGTTCATCTAAAAGACAACAGACAATTGAACCAAACTATATTTTGCCATGTAAAGCTAACTTAAACCAAGTTAGAAAGGGAAAAATAGTTTGGAACTTTTTTCTATAGGCATAAATCCCTATAGTTACCCTTTTCAGCATGTTCCTCCCCTTAACTGGTAGTTGTAGCTGTTCCCAATCATAATAGCTTACACACCAGGTGCATATAGTTTAAGGCCTTATGTAAAATCCCCTTCATAAGCCCACCTTAAACCACATAATTGCATGGCACATTGAACCAGAACGGCACAGACTGGACGTCGCCCAGAGACGACCTTCGCTGGAGGCGACCTGCAATCCTGACGTTGGTCTCCACACTTCATCCAGTGGCCGCATCTTCAGTTCAATCCAAGGGAACCCCTCTGTATGCTGATCAATCAACACTTCCAATCGTTGTGGATTTACCGTTGTGGATTATATGACTTTTTCCAATGGATTACAGACTCTGTTTCCAAGGGGTTAAAGCATTGCTACAATGGAATTACCGACGACGTTATGGAATTATAATCAACACAATGGAACTACCAAGAACATTGTGGAATTACCTTGACTTTTGTTTTCCTTGCTGGATTACTTTTGACTTTTGTTTTCCTTGCTGGATTACTTTTGACTTTTGTTTTCCTTGCTGGATTACATCAAGCTCAAGGACATTCGAAGGCGTAAGTTCATGTTTGGAATTCATCCCCATGGACAGGCGATTATTTCCAAAGGGGGGACTGTAGTGAACTAAGCCGAAGGTCAAAACCTTGACCTTAGGACCATAT